TTGATCTGTGTCAGAAGCCCTCCAGGATACCAATTGGGTGTCTGCCATGACAACAGAAATGGATGCTTTACACCATAATAATACATGGGAACTTGTTGCTTTACCTTCTGGGGAGAAAACGGTTGGCTGCAAGTGGGTCTTTAATGTGAAGTACTTAGCCGATGGTTCTATTGATCGGTATAAGGCTCGGTTGGTGGCAAAAGGCTTTACTCAGATTCCGGGCAAAGACTTTAGTGCTACCTTTGCTCCTGTGGCTAAGTTAACGTCTGTGCGACTACTTGTCTCCTTGTCTGCTGCCCATTCTTGGCCTCTGCATCAGTTAGATGTCAAGAATGCATTTCTTAATGGAGACTTACTTGAGACTATATATATGGATCCACCCCCTGGACTTCAGGCTGAGGGGAAGTATGCTGGGAAAGTCTGTAGGCTACGGAAGTCTCTTTATGGTCTGAAGCAATCTCCTAGAGCTTGGTTTAGTCGCTTCAGCAATGTTGTTTTATCTATGGGCTTTGTGCGCTGCCACTCAGACCATACTTGTTTTATTCAACGTCGCTCTGATGGTCGTTGCATTATGTTATTGGTATATGTAGATGATATCATTATCACAGGTGATGATGCTTCAGGGATTGCTCAGGCGAAACTTCATCTTCAAAAGTCCTTTGATGTGAAGGACTCAAGTCCTCTTCGATATTTTCTTGGAATTGAGGTTGCTAGATCCCGTCGTGGAATTTCTTTATCTCAAAGAAAATATGTTTTGGATCTTCTTCAAGATACTGGCATGCTTGGGTGTCGACCCGCTTCCACTCCTATGGACCCCAATCTTAAACTCTCTGTTGAGTCAGGGGAATTACTTCCAGATCCATCCGTGTATCAACGTTTAGTAAATCATCTTATCTACTTGACTAACACAAGGCCCGATTTGACATTTGTTGTCAGTGTGATTAGTCAATTCATGCATGCCCCTCGCTCAGCTCATATGGATGCAGTCTACCATATTTTGAGGTACCTTAAGTCGTGCCCTGGTCTTGGTCTGTTCTATGCCTCAGGAAATCAGTCTGGACTCTCATGCTTTACTGATGCAGACTATGCTGGATGTAAGACAGATAGACGTTCTACCTCTGGCTTTTGTACTTTCTATGGTAATCATCTCATATCATGGAAGAGTAAGAAGCAGGCTGTTGTTTCTAGATCCTTTGCTGAAGCTGAATACCGAGCTATGGCTCAAGGTACTTATGAGCTCCTTTAGCTTCAATCAATTTTGGGAGAGTTGGGTCTTGTACAAAAAGGTTCTTCAAGGCTGTTTTGTGACAATAAATCAGCCATTATGCTTGCTTCTGATTCTGTTTTGCATGAAAGGTCGAAACATATTGAGGTAGACATTCATTTTATTCGAGAGAAGGTTCGATCAGGTATCATTAATCCTATTTTTGTTCCTTCTTCAGAACAGACTGCAGATGTGTTCACAAAGTCTGTTGGGCCTTCTCTTCTCCAGTCTTCCATCGTCAAGCTGGGCTTAGTCAACATATTTGCTCCAGCTTGAGGGGGAATGTTGGAAATCTTATCTATAAGTTGACTCAACGATTATGGCAGATTTATTGGGTCTTCAATATAGGCTAATTTTTAAGGATTTTATTTTTATTCTGATTGGATTTGATTTGATTTTATTCTCTTTATTTTGATTTTATTTTATTCTCTTTTCCATATTTGTAATTTTCCGCTTGTATATAATGATAATCAGGCTCTCAAATTGAGTACGCCAATTTTACCAAGTTACTTTTCTTCTAAAAGGTATCCAAGAGCCATGTTCTTGTAACATCTAATAGCCACTTGATTAGTATATCAATGTAAAATTAGCAGACATGACCTGCATGAAACATTTTAGATGGAAATTTTTTTCCCAAATGTAAGATCTGATGATCGACAAAACCAATGTTTTAAGGATAAAGTGCACTTAACACCCCTGTGATATCCCTACAGTGCATATCAACCCTCTCATGTGCACAAAACACCCTCAAAATGAAAAAAAGTGTGTAAATAAGTCCTACCTTATACATTAAAGTAAGACATTGACCAAATTATCCTTACACATTTTTCAAGTTATTTTAAAAAAGATGCTTTTGTAAAATGACCAAAGAGGACACTCCCTAATATATTAACCTATCAATCACTTTACCCAAGAAGTCAAAAACCCAATGTCTCTTTCTTGTCCATTGTTGGTAAAAGCAACATAAACCCATCACCATCTTTTACACTCTTCTTATACTTCTTAGACAGACACATACACACTCAGAGTTCATATATGTATATATATATACACAACTTTATGTTTGACTAAAACTCCAGCAAAATGGCCCAGACCCACTCACTCCACTTTCTAGTTACTTCCATCCCACCACCCACCTTTAAATCCTCACTTTCATCAAACCCAATGTCGAAGCCAAACGCTCATTGTCGCCGGAAAATCTGACCCGCGCATCTCATTGTTGCAGCTGTTTCTCCAATCTGCTTCCAGCTCCACAAATAAATGATCTGTTTGATGAAAATGGAACACACAGTTTTTATTCGATTGTACATATTGTTTCTGGGTTTCTCCTTTGTTCTGTCCTCTGTTGCAATTCCTACCTCAAGTATGATTCAACTTAATTGGATCCAATATACTTCTTTCAATATATATAAGTAGTAGTGGTGTATGTGTGTGTGTGTGAGTTCTGATTTATTTGTGTGATTATTAGGAAGCCTCAAGTCGATCAAGGAAGAACCATCAGTCCAAGATTTACTTGCTCAGGTTCTCTCTCTTTACTTTATTAATTGAGTCTAAATTTCAGTGAATTACGGATCTAATCATATATTATATGAATTCTCGATGTAATGGATTTGAGGAGTGATGGGGAGCTATTAGAGGAAAGATTGATAGAAGGGAGGAGGGACATGGAAATGGAAGAGATGCACTATCCAGGAACAGGAGCAAAAAACAACCATGACACAAAAGCTCCTGGAAGAGCTTGATTATTATTGCAGATGTATATTATTATACACACACACACACACATATATATCCATGTATATCAACAGGTTCAAAGATTTTGTTCTATATGTTTTGCTTTGGAATAATATCCTATCCGTTGGAAGTATTGGATGTATCCAAAAAACAGACAAAATTTAGTCAATAAGCATTAAATATAAAATAATACAAGTTCAAAGGCCATTTCTCCGAACCAAATTTGACAAAAAATTATGATAACACATTTATATACAGCAGGCAAAAAAAATTCCATTTTTGGATTATGAAATGAAGAAAAATGAAAAAAATAAAAGAATCTTTTTTTTCTGCAAAGGGTTGATGTGCACTTAAAGGGTTGATGTGCACTTAACACCCCTACATAAAGCAAATATATAAAATAAACACCCCTTGGGCATTTTCGGAATGGTAAAAGGGAAAAACGGGCATATTACAATTACTTTATGTCAAATTTTGCAAAAAAGTGATTTGAGGGGTGTTGTTGCACAGTTTTTAAACCTTAGTGTGTTAAGTGCACTTTACCCTTGTTTTAAATACAATTTGTAGGTCAATCTTTGGAATAGGAAATACCTTAGGGTTTCTCACGAAATAATAACCCACCGAGTGTAAGTAAATTCTATGGACCAGTTTACGACTAACAGGCACTCCTAATAATCCAACACACATCACGTCAAATCAGAGTTTTAATTTCAATGTAAAATCAAAATATTCAAATTTTTTTTATTAATTTCCAATCATTTCAAAATTATTCACTTAATTTCGGCATGTTACTACAACAAACTACGGCAATACATCATCTCAAAAAAATATAAACTTCTTGGTGTTTGTCTCATTTTCAATCCGGATTGGTATAAAATTTTAAATTGATTGTTACACCTACATTTCTGCCAGGAAGTGAGGGTGTTGAATTTTAAGACATTGACCAGAATATTTCCACTGGAGACAAGAATTATACCTGACCCAGGCCAACAACACCAATAAGCTGTAGTGTCTTCTCCCACTCTGAAACAAATTTGTGTATGCTCAGTTGGATGGCAAGAACAAACATCGCATGGCAGTCTAATAATATTGAGAGAGAGAGAGAGAGAGAGAGAGAGAGAGAGAACTTAGGGAACAATACATATCGATCCATATTTTGAAAATAAAAATCTGATAATCATACAGAAAGAGGGCGGGACTTGGCGCACCGGTAAGGTTGTTCCATTGTGACTTGGATGTTACCGGTTCGAAACAGGAAGTAGCCTCTCCCAATGTGGAGGTAAGGCTGCGTACATCAAACCCTCCCCAAACCCCAGAATGGCGGGAACCTCATGCACTGGGCTAGCCCTTCTTTTTTTTAATAATCATACAGAAAGGAGATATTCCTCTTCTAACAGCAAATTCAGTCAAGTTAAAAAGGAAAGATATACTAAAGCATAAGCATCCCTCGAAAACTAACAATCAAGCTACTAACACTCCAACAGAAGAAGCGAAACTCATATTAAACCATCAAAGAACCTTTACTTTCTTGATAAGTAAAATAATTCCTTAAGGGGACAAAAGAGAGTGTGCAACCAAAATAAACATGACATGTAAATGAGAGAATTATAAACACTTGATATAAAGGAACAAGTGTATCCATCCCATCTGCAAAAGTCAAAAAACGTATCTAGCAAAGACATTAACCAGTCCCATTAACTAGGTAAATAAAATAAAGAAGAAAAAAATAATTTTCATCTTATATATTGATTCCTCCAACCTCATCAAAAGACCATCTATTCTTCTCCCAACAAGTGCACCAGAAACAAAGGAGCAGCAATCTCAGCTTTCTGTTTCCTTCTACTCAGTCTGGCTCCTTTTTAGCTTGGACAAAACCTCGGCCATAGAAATTCTTGTCACACTCTTTTCCTAACAATTATATTATTGTATTTTAGTGTTCAAGACGTGTCAAAAACATGCACAGACGTGTCGAGAAGTATTAAAAAAGTGCTCAGAGAAATAGAAAAAAAAAAAATCAAATTATGGATATGTTTAGGAAGCATCTGACACATATCCACAGGTATCTAAAGAGATTCAATATTCAATATGGATACAATATGGACATGCATCCCTTACAGAAGCACCCGCACTTCAGAATCTTTAACTCTGTAAGGGAGGTCAGTTTTCAATTGTCTCTAGAGTCAGTTTGCAATATCGATCATAGGGTTATTTGATGTCCCTCAATAGCTTGCCTTGATCTATTGATGACCATGAGATCATTACCCAGGATTGTCCCTCGATAAATTTTTAGTAGCATTGACTACCCGTATGGCTATTCAATTACATGCCGGAACTGAGTAGCTCTACCAGACAAGCGTCAGGAACTACATCCTCTTCCCGTCTTGGACTACACCAATATCCATGGTCCCATTCAGGCAAAGCCATGACATTTAGAGGCATTTTATTTTCTATATCAAGTTAATTGAATACAAAAGAGCAGTGGTTTCACCAGTAACTGATGCAAAATACACCGACATCTTCCATTAAAAGCAGAAGAGAAGAGAAGAGAGATGTTTTCAAGACTGAAAAGAAGGTACAAAAGTTAAAATGTTTCCAGTGATTCAAATTTCTGTATAAATAAAAGTTCCAACTCAAACTGCCATTGCAAGAAACAACAATATAAAAATTGGCGCTTCCTTAAACTTGGACAATTAAAACATGGAAGAATGATTTAAAGGGGTGCTCTCCAATCATAAGTCCTGCTAGAATCAGATTCTAGGTCCACTAATAATGACAATATGGTCAATTAACTTAAAAAGCCCTCAAGTACCGAACACCAACAACACTGAGGTTTCCCCACATACAAACCCAAAATCTCACAATTTTTCCTTAATTTTGTACCTCGTACTATTGATCACCAATGCCAAAAAGAACTTTCTCTATGAGATGTCCACAATCAATCTTCCTAACAAATTCTTTGTTCCTAGGAATTATTATACAAACCTAGGCCACAAAACCGCTTCTTCCAGCTAGAAACTCTCAACTAAGTGAATAAGCCACCAAACCTTCATTTTAAGGTGGCCATAAACCCAAATGCCCCAAAAAAAGAAAAGCCCCTTTGCCCTAGTTAAAATGATTGCTGACCTTTCAGATACCAGTTACCAGATACCAAAACTTATTTGATCTAAGTTCCACTCCTTCCCCAGTGGTAGATCTCCAAACCCCATGAACCACCTACCTATATGACCCAGCATTCTAACAAGAATCAATTTGTTCTTCTCAACATGATTCCTGCCAAGTCTACTCCTCTGCTGAAGAGAGGAGGGAAAAGAGAGTGAGGTTGGGTCGCCGTGATGATTATGTTATTTCATAAATCAATTAATAATATTTAAGAAATACTTGAAATTTACTGAATTTCCTTTGAGAAAGCTTTCTGTGTGTGCCTCTATTATGCGATCTTTCTTGGATGTGGCTCGGTTACCGCGTGTTTTTCAGGGTGGGACTGTTAACTCTGCAAACACTTACAGAGGCCCTTCGATTTTTGTGGACGATGATTCGGTTGGAAGGAGGAAGGAGGACCTTCGATCTTGCCTGGTGGGCAAATTTGATAAGGAAGTTGGAGATCGGGCACAAATCGCAGCTTGGGCGTCTCGTGTATGGAAGGTTTCACCTGCCGTGGTGGTGTCGCCATTAACGGATTAGCTGCTTCTCTTTTGCCTCCCCTCTCCGGCGGAGGCAGCACGGGTTCTTAAAGAGGGATGCCACGACTGGGGGAAGGCCACGCTACGAATTGATTCATGGAGTTTTAGGGTGGACTACTCTGAGGTTTTGAAAGAGCAAGGGCTGAAGAGAGTAATGTTGTACGGTCTTCCTCTTCACCTCTGGTGCCATGCCCTCTTTGTGACGGTCGGGATCTCTGTGGTGGTTTTATTTGGGTGTACGCAGATGAATCCATTGATGCAGAGAGGGTTCGCATCACTGTTTCGGATGGCCGCGCTTGTCCGCCGGTGAATTTCATACATAACGACCAATTTTGCTATAAAGTAGCTGCGTGGGAAGAGACCCATCCCGAGCTTGTTCCAACGACCTACAGTCTAGAAGGAGGAGATGGATCTCACTTGCTAAGGGAGGATAAATGGCTGAATATGCTCTCTAATGCTTTGTTCGGAAGGAAAGAAAAAAATTGGATAAAAAGAAGAGAAGGGAAGGATGAGACATCCCTATGGAAGAGATTATGTATTTCCTTCTTTTGTTCGATTGGATAGAAGAGAAGAAAATAAGATTATAATTTCCTATGTTCGTTAAGAGGGAAGGAAGTGAAAGTTTTAATTGTTTTTACTATTATATCCAATAATATTTATAATATTGTAATTTATAGAGGATAGTACTGTAATTTAAAACTTGTATAATTTTGGATAGTGTTTAATTTAAAACTTCTATAACAGTCCACTTGTCTTCCCTTCGTTCTTCCGTCCATTTTTGGGCGGATGAAAATTTGTAAAGAAGGAATGATGGGCCATCCTTCCTATTTTCCTTTCTTTCCTTGTATCATCTCTACCGAACAAAGGAAGTTCGTTCCTTCCTTCCTATTCTCTCTCCATACCTCTTCCTTCCTTCCTGCCAAACATAGCATAAGGGTCCCAAGGGGGTGATTGATTTTCATAAATGGAAAGAAATGAGGGATTTGTTGTGGATCCAAAACACTGCATGCCTCAAACGTTTGTTCACTCATAAAAGAATGGGTGTCGCGTCTTCGTCGGATCTTGGCCGGCACACAGGTCTTCCAGAGAAACAGAGTGGAGGTCTCAAAGGTCTTGGATCTCATCCGTCAGAGCTGTGTTGGGATCGGAGAAGACGCAATGGCGTTTTCCACGCGCCATCAGCGCGTGAGTGGGGGAGAAGGGGCAACCACACACGTGGCTGGCACAGATTTACTTCCCGTTCAAGATAGGATACAGCTGCCACCCATGTTTTTTCAAACCATTCGGCACGTGCTGGTCCCCAGACTTCAAAGTTGGGCTGTGGTTTGGGGTATGAGTTGGGGCCAGCTTCTAGCCTGTAGCTAAGAGCATGTTCAACCTATTATCTTGTGGGCCGATCGAGACAAGTCACACATCTAATGTTTCATGTTCAGGGCACGAGCTGGGCTGAGATCTGTGTCTGTTGTCCCATTGTCTTGTGGGCTAAACTGCCAAGCCCGTCCCACTCTCTCTTGTTCAAGTGAGCCCAATGCGGACAATTTGCATATTATTAAGCCTTTAGATCACTCTTTGGGCTCTGGTTTCTCTGGGCCTGCTTTGTGTAACCGTTTTGGGCCATTAGGCAAACATCTTGATCTGCCCCATTCTCCTCTTTTGCCCAGTTCTGATCATAGAGCTATTCAGCATGCAAAAGTTCATTCGCAGGGGCACCAACTGAGAACCAAGAAGATTCAACTACCAGGAGTTAGAAGAAGGTGGACTCGTAAGGATAAGCAGAAATGGGTATTGTGTAAACAGCCCGATTGCGATCCGGGTAAGTCCAATTCTATGACTGGACATTCTCTTTCTGATCCTTCCTCTTCTTCAACTCCTTCTTGTGGGGTGTTGAGGCGGTTTTCGGGGGTGGAGAAGGGAGTCTTGACTTCTGTGTCCAGAAAATTGTCACCAGTTTTTGAGGTTGATACGAAGCTAGGTGTTGATGAGGAGAGTGTGGATAAGTTTCATGCGGGACGTCCTTGTAACAGCTTGGGGTCCTCTCAAATTCTCCCTCTTAATGAGAATTGTGAGGGTGTCACTCTCTGTGTGGGGCGAGATTTTCATATCAATCTTAAAAATGATGTTGTAGTTGTTTTGATCAATGAACTTTGACTACACTTGGCCTTGAAAGGGCTTTATCTCCCTTCAATTGATAGTCGGGTGCTCAAGGGTGATGCGTCGGATGAGGAGTTTGGGACTCCAATGGCTGGCAGTTCTCTTTCTTCTTTTGTTCTCGATGACTGGGCTAGGCTGTTGGGCTCTTTTATTGATGGGGAGATGGGAATTGTTCTATGGGAAGAAATTGAGCCGGCTGAAGGTCTGTTTAATCCGTTAACTATTGTGGGACCGAAGGGGGAGTGTGTGGGAGGTGTTGCTGGTAAAGGAGCTGAAGGCATGGAGGAGGCGTGGGTGAGGGATAAGGGTGTGGAGGTGGAGATGGGTGCTCTATTGGGAGTGACTTTTGAAGGTAAAATGGGTGAGGCGATGGGTTTGTTTCATGATATTCTCAATTTTCAGCACAACGATGATGTGGGAAGTAGGGGAGGATTTCCTTCAGAGAAAGGTGTGAGGGAGGAGCAGACTCCCATTTCTTATGTTACTTATGAAAGGAGGAATAGGGGGTCAAGGGAGAGGGGTGGAGGGAAGAGAAGAGGGAAGGAAAACTCAATTGTTTCCCTATGAAGCTACGATTGTTATCATAGAATGTTCGGGGTCTCAATGACCCGGATAAAAGGAAGTGGTGAAGTCAACTGTCTAGAAGTGGGGTTGTCATGTGGTGTGTTTGCAAGAAACCAAGATCGCCGCGATGTCGGATTTGATTGTTAGAAGTATTTGAAGTGGAAGATGTGTGGAGTGGTTGGCTTTGGATGCTATAGGCTCCTCGGGAGGCATCCTTGTTATGTGGGATAGTAGATGGGTTTCTAAAGTGGACTCTCAGATTGGGAGCTTCTTGTAGAAATTCTCTCTGTAAAATATCCTGCCTCATATATTAACATTAACATCTTGTACAAGTGTATATAGGAAAGAGGGAAAGCTATACAAGGAAAAGAATAAAAAATATTCCTACAAATTTGTTCCTAATTTAAAGCAATCAGTCTATCCTAATTTACTGCAAATTAATCTGTCCTACAATCTTGTTCTAATTTACCATAATGAGAAATCAATTAAATCCCTAAAATAAAGGGAAATAATATATATATCTTCCAACACTCCCCCTCAAGCTGGAGCATTGTCACGAATGCCTAGCTTGTCAAGTGCCTAATTGAAAGTCGTACTTGACACTCCCTTTGTCAAAAAATCTGTAAGCTAATGTTTTGTCTTCACAAACGGAGTGCAAATTAATCCACCTATCAACTTCTCCTTGATAAAGTGTCTATCCACTTCAACGTGTTTAGTACGATCATGTTGAACTGGATTGTGAGCAATGCTAATGGCAGCTTTGTTATCACAGAAAAGCTTCATTGGATCCGTAGAATTAAAGCCCAGCTCCTTTAACAAAGCCTTCAGTCACAACATCTCACATATACCATCAGCCACGACTCTAAATTCTACTTCAGCACTGGATCTGGCCACAACAGATTGTTTCTTACTACGCCACGTGACTAGATTCCCTCCCACAAAGGTGCAGTATCCTGAAGTTGATCTTCTTTCTATTACACATCCTGCCCAATCAACATCTGTATATCCTTCCACTTCGAGATGACCATGGTTGGAGAATAGCAGACCTTTCCCAGGAGCTGATTTTAAATACCTGAGAATCCTGTGTACAGCCAACATGTGTGTTTCGTAAGGAGCATGCATGAACTAACTTACTACACTCACCGCATAGGCTATGTCAGGGCGAGTATGTGCCAAATATATTAGCTTCCCAACCAACCTTTAGTATCTCTCTCTGTCTATAGGTGTATCATTTGTGTATTCACCTAACCTGTGATTTTGTTCAATTGGAGTATCAACAGGTTTGAAAGCCAACATTCCAGTCTCAGCCAATAAGTCTAAGACATATTTTCGTTGGGAAACAGAGATCCCCTTCTTTGACCTAGCAACTTCAATACCCAAAAATTATCGTAAAGACCCAAGGTCTTTGATCTCAAATTCTTTTGCCAGATATGCTTTCAGCTTACCCATCTCCTCACCATCACTACCAGTCACCACAATATCATCCACGTACACGATTAAGGCAGTAATCTTACATCCAAGTGAATGTTTAAGAAAGAGAGTGTGATCCGACTGGCTCTGGTGGTATCCATATTTCTTCATGGCCAGAGTAAACTTGCTAAACCAAGCTCTAGGTGACTGCTTGAGTCCATACAAGGATTTCCTTAATCTACATACCTTACCTCTTTTAGAGGAATTAACAAAACCTGGAGGAAAGTCCATATATAGTTCTTCCTCTAAATCGCCGTGAAGAAATGCATTCTTCACATCAAACAGCTGAAGAGGCCACTCTAAATTTGCAGCCAAGGATAAGAGGACCCTTATTGTATTTATCTTCGCCACCGGTGCAAATGTTTCTTGATAGTCTATCCCATAGGTTTGGGTATAACCTTTACCTACCAATCTTGCTTTGAACCTCTCCAATGAACCATCTACCTTATGCTTCACTGTGAATACCCATTTGCAACCAACTATCTTCTTTCCCTTTGGTAGCTCAACAAGTTCCTATGTAGAATTTTTCTGTAAAGCTTCCATTTCTTCAATCATGGTAGCTTTCCACTTGGGGTTGTAAAGAGCTTCCTGTAACTTATTAGGGACTGACACGGATGATAACTGGTTTGCAAATATTTTATAAGATGAAGATAAATGATGTGAAGATACATAATAAGAGATGGGATATTTTACAACTGAAAGACTAAAACGAGAGGGAGGTTTTCTTTCTCGAGTGGGATAACGTGCCTGATTCTCAATAACTAATTCAGTAGCATCATGTGGTTGATCAAGTTGATCAATAGGTAAATGAGCTGACTCATTAGTAGAAGTATCAATAAAGAGTTTAGAGGAAGGAACTACCTCAGGATTACCAGTCACAGGAGCACTTAATTGGTCATTGGGTTGATTAAGAGGTGGTTGATTTGTCTGTGTCTTCTCCCTTCTTGAGTATACAAATCTGTGTGGCTCAAGGAATTTCTTTGGAGTCGGTGTAGAATTTTCAAGAGATTCCTTTGAAGTCGATGCAGAAGTTTCAATAGATGATGATACACTTGTTAATGGTAATGGCAACACCTCCCAAAACTTCTCTTCATTTACCAAATTCTCCCCCCTGAAGAGAAGCATTTGAATCTCCCCCTGAATAGTAAGCCTGATTTTCAACAAAAGTAACGTCCATGGAAACAATTATCTTATATGAAGGAGGGTGATAGCATTTGTATCCCTTTTCTGTGGCAAAATACCCCAAGAAAATACACTTGAGTGCTCTCGGATCCAGCTTACTCCACTGTTGTTTGTGGATACGAGTATAACAAACATAACCAAACATTTTAGGTGGAATGTGAAGAAGAGTTGGAATAGCGTGTGTTTTGGATAATGTCTGAAGAGGAGTTTGAAACTGAAGAATTTTTGAAGGCATTCTATTAATGAGATATGTTGCAATAAGGACAGCATCTCCCTAGAAAGTTTTAGGAACGTTCATAGCAAAGAGTAATGACCTAGCAACCTCTAAGAGATGGCGATTCTTACGCTTTGCTACTCCATTCTGCTAAGGTATATCAACACACGAAGTTTGATGAATGATGCCATGAGCCTGAAAATGGACACTAAGCCCTCTCTTAAAATACTCCCCTCCATTATCTGATCGTATAACCTGTACTCTCGTGTTAAACTGGGTCAAAACCATTGGGTGAAAGGATTGGAAGGTGGCAAAAACATCACTTTTTTCTTTTAACAAATAGATTCATGAAACACGAGTGTAATCTAAGGAAACAAACCATTTAGAACCTAAATGATTAGGAACACGAGATGGCCCCCACACATCACTATGAATAATTGAGAAAGGCACAAAATTTTTATTAAAACTTGAAGGAAAAGAAGTGCGATGGTATTTGGCTAACACACAACTATCACAATGAAAATTAGAAACATCAATTCTGGAGAATAAAGATGGAAACAATTTATGCAAATAGCTAAATGAGAGGTGTCCTAATCTTTTGTGCCATAGCCAAATCTGCTCTTCTGATGTTGACTTGCCAACTATTTGATTTGTTTTTCCATTCGAAGCCAAATTCATATCCAAGTAGTACAGACCACCTCTTTCTCTACCAAGACCAATCTTCATTCCCGTAAGAAGGTCCTGAAAGACACAATGAGTATCAAAGAATGTTACGGAACATTTAAGAGCCTTAGTAATTTGACTAATGGACAATAGGTTATCAGATAAACATGAAACATGTAAGACACTAGAAAGAGACATCGAAGAAGTAATTGGAATGGAACCTTCCCCAGACACAATAGAAGTAGGTCCATTTGTTGTTTTAAGACCTTTGTACTAGGATGAGTGTTAGAAGAAGAAAAAAATCTAGATTCACGTATCATATGATCAGTAGTACCTGAATCAATAATCCAAGATGACTCAACACGACGAGAAGTGTTCAAGGCTAATCCAAAGTTACCTATATTGGCTGAGTTAATGAAGCCTCTTTTGAGGATAGCTTCTAAGCATACTCTTGCATCATTTTATGTACCTGAGCTTGAGAATATTGTGGTTAGGCTGCAAAAGAAGATTGTGCATCAGACTGCACATCAAAGGTTGTATGATGTGCTCTAGAATTTGAGTTATCCCCCTTGTTTCCACCTTTCTTACGAAACCAGTCTGGATAACCTTCAGCTTAAAACAAGTCTCTCGAGTATGTCCAATCTTATTACAATGTGTACAGAATAAAGACTCTTTGTTCTCAAGTTTCCTCAAGAAAGAGGTAACCAGTGCAGTTGGAGTCTGCATAGTAACCAAGGCTGAACTCTCCGGTGAGACACCTATAAGTATGTTGGCCTGACGGAGCTCCTCACGTCGAACATAGGCATATGCACCGCAAAGATTAGGAAGAGGATCATGCCCTAAAACCTGTACTCTGATCTGATCAAACCCTAGGTCAAGGCCGGCTAGGAAATCATAGACCCTTTCATTCTCAATTCTCTTCTTTAGCTTTGCTGTATCCCCAACACACTCCATATCACATGGCTAGAGAAAATCCAGCTCCTGCCAAATAGCATGCAAAGTAGAAAAATAGCTAGCCAACGTCTTCCCTTACTATCGAGTCTTATTTGCCCTGCGCCTCAGTTCATAAATCTGAGAAGCATCACTCCATCAAAATAGGTTTGAGCCACGACTTCCCAAATAGCATGAGCTGAAGTCGAAGAAAACTGGCGCTAATATTCGGAGTCATTGAGTTAAGAAGCCATGACATCAACATGGCATTCTCCTCCAACCAAGTAGAGAAGGAAGGTTCAGTATCCGCCGGCTGTTTCTTGACTCCAGTCAAGTACCCCAACTTTCCCTTTCCTGTGATGTACAACTTCACAAACTGGACCAAGCAGAATAATTCGTCCCATCAAATTTGTAAGAAGTCATCTGCACACTCATGTTATCAAGTTGATTTGTCAAAATCGAACGAATAGGCGGTGCTGTACTAGAATCAGAAGATTTAGAGGTAATGACAGACATGTTTCAATGGGTATGGTATTTAGAATCTAGGTTTTAGGGTGTTGTCCAAGACAATTGCACACCAAGAGAACAAGAATAGGAGGACAAAGAGAATAGGTCTGCAGTAATCGCTCAAACCCATGAAACTTTTCTTTCTTTCTCACACTATTGCTCCGACACCATGTAGAAATTCTCTCTGTAAAATATTCTGCCTCATATATTAACATTAACATCTTGTACAAGTACATATAGGAAAGAAGGAAAGCTATACAAGGAAAATAATAAAAAATATTCCTACAAATTTGTTCCTAATTTAAAGCAATCAATCTATCCTAATTTACTGTAATTAATCTATCCTACAATCTTGTTCTAATTTACCCTGGTGAGAAATCAATCAAATCCCTAAAATAAAGGGAATAATATATATATCTTCCAACACTTCTCAGTGTCATGCGTTCTCTCTTTGGTGGAGGATGGTTTCCAGTGGGTCTTTTCTGGTGTTTATGGTCCTATAGAGGACAACTTGAGTCATTTATTTTGGGGACTTCAATGTTTTCCGCTCTCCCATTGAGAGATCGACGGGGGGTAGGTGGACTTTGGATATGGAGCTTTTCTTAGGTTTCATTGATGACTTTAGGTTGATTGATTTGCCCTTGGAGGGATGGTCCTTTACTTGGTCTATTGGCCGCTCTCCTCCTACTCTTTCTCGGTTGGATAGATTCCTCATTTCTGGAGATTGGAAGGAAAAGTTTTCTGATGTGCTTCAGGATGCTTTGGCACGTCCTATCTCTGGCCATATCCTGTTGGTGTTGGATTGTGGAGGAATGCGAAGTAGAAGATCCCCTTTTAGATTCGAGAATATATGGCTTCGTGCAGAGGGCTTTCATGACAGGGTCTGGGCGTGGTGGGAGGGTTATGGGGTGGTTGGCACTCCAAGTCATGCCCTTGCAGTAAAATTGCGTCTTTTGAAGGTAAACATTAAGTTATGGAACAAAGAGATCTTTGGGAACTTGGAATGGAGGAAGAATCGGGCTTTATCTAAGATTGTTGAGATTGATTGTTTGGAGGGACAGGGCGAGTCCCTGAGGAGTAGGAGGGTGGAGTGCCAGGCAGAGTTTGCCGAAATTGCTATCATGGAGGAGATCTCATGGAGGCAAAAGTCTAGAGCGTCGTTGTGGCTAAAGGAAGGAGACAGAAACACGAAGCTCTTTCATAGACTTGTGAATGCTCATAGAAGAGGCAATCATATAGGGAGGATCCGAGTGGAAGGGGTGTTGTTTTATAAGGAAGAGGAGGTATGTAAGGGTATTGCTGAATTCTATTCGAAGCCGTTCACAGAAACCTCTGGTTGGAGACCATTGCTTGGAGGGCTTCAGCTTGATTCTATTTCTAGTGAGGAGTGTTCTGGGTTGGAGGAGCTGTTTTCTGAAGAGGAAGTCTTGAACGCTTTGAAGAGTTGTAATGAGGATAAAGCTCCAGGTCCTGAGGGTTTTTCCATGAAATTCCTTTAGGAGAATTGGGACGTGGTTAGAGGGGAGGTGATGAGTACATTTCAGGCCTTTTATGGTCAGGGTTGTTTTGAGAAGAATCCAAATGCCACTTTCATTGCTCTCATTCTGAAGAAAGGGGGGCGATGGATGTTTGGGCTTTTCACCCTATTAGTTTGGTGGGATGCATCTACAAGCTAATTGCCAAGGTTCTTGCAGCGAGACTTAGAAGAGTTTTGGATGAGGTTATTTCTGACTCTCAAAATGCTTTTGTTGGAGGTCGTCAGATTTTGGACTCAGCCTTTACAGCTAGTGAATGTGTGGATTCCAAATTGTGTAGTGGGGTTCCTGGTGTTCTTTGCAAATTGGACATTAATAAGGTGTACGATCATGTGAGTCGGAGTTTCCTTCTTTAGTTGATGGACAGGATGGGGTGGTGTGAGATAGAGGAAATGGATTCAGTTTTGTATTTCTAGTGCTTGATTCTCTGTACTTGTGAATGGTGCCCCGACAAGATTTTCTCTAGTTTGAGGTGTTTGAGATAGGGGGATCCGCTCTCGCCTTTTTTGTTCCTTATTGTAATGGAGGCTCTATGAGGAGCACTATGGATTTAGGTTTTCTGAGAGGCTTTAGGGTGGGTAGGGATGCTGCTAGCTAGCTGGAGATCTCTTACTTGATGTTCACAGATGATACTCTTGTGATTTGTGATGCAGATGATGGGATATTTGATATGTGTTTTGATATGGTTTCAAGTTGTCCCCGGGTTGAAGGTGAATGTGGGGAGAGCGTTTTGGTGCCGGTTGGGGAGGTCCCTGACATCACGTCATTGGCTGATATCCTTGGATGTTGTGTTAGTTCCTTTCTCATTTCTTATTTGGGTCTTCACCTTGGATCATCCTCGAGATGTGTAGGTTGCTGGGATCCTATTGTGGAAAGATTTGAGAGGAGACTGGCAAGATGGAAGATGCACTACCTCTCCAAGGGTGGAAGGGTCACTCTGATTAAGAGCACCCTTTCAAGTCTCCCCACTTATTCTCTCTTTATTCCAGATCCCCTCTTTTGTGGCTGAGAGAATTAAGAGATTATAGCGAAATTTTCTGTAGGGGGGCGTGGGGGACGAATTCAAGTATCATCTGGTTCGTTGGGAGCAGGTTTGTAGTCCAATCCGGGATGGAGGTGTGGGTGTTAGAAGATTGGTGCCTTTTAATAAGGCACTGCTTGGGAAGTGGCTTTGGAGGTATGGGGTGGAGAGACATAAACTGTGGAGAAGGGTGGTAGCGAGTAGATTTGGGGAGGAGAGAGGAGGATGGTGTTCTCTTGAGGGATGTTTTCAAAGGAGGGTGTGGGTTTGGAAACTCATTCGGAAGAGGTGGGATGGATTCTCTAAACACATTAGATTTCGACTCAATGGTGGTAGGAGGATCAGTTTCTGGGAGGAAGTTTGGTGTGGTGACCGCTCTCTTGCTCTCGCTTTCCCCCGACTCTTCAGGATTGCAACGGATAGGCAGGCCATGGTGGTCAACTGTTGTCGGCTTGATAGCGGGAGATCGTCTTGAGATATTCGTTTTAGGAGGCATTTTCAGGATTGGGAAATTGAGGATGCCATTGGTTTCTTAGAATTGCTGTATCGTCAGGAAATCACGGGTGGTGTTTCTGATTGTTGGGTTTGGGCCCTTGCTCCTCAGGATCGGTTTGATGTTCGGTCCTTCTATAGGTGTCTTACGGAGTAGGATGGGCTTTCTTTCCCATGGAAGGCAGTTTGGCGATCTAGGGCTCCCCTTAAGGTGGCCTTCTTTGCTTGGACTTCTATTTTGGGGAAGATTTTAACTTAGGATAATTTGAGGAGAAGGAATCAAGTTGTGGTCAACTATTGTTGCATGTGTCTCCGTGATGAGGAGAGAGTGGATCACCTCCTTTTGCATTGCACCATTGCTAGAGATTGTTAGGATTTGATGCTTGGTTTGTTTGGTGCTCTGTGGGTCATGCCCAAATCCTCCAGAGGGTTGATTGAGGCTTGGAGAGGTTGTATAGTGGGGGCCTAAGCCCGGGATGCTTGGAGGATTACGCCTTTGTGTGTTTGGTGGTGTATTTGGTTCGAGAGGAACAAGAGATCTTTCGAAGAAAAGGAGAATCCTATTTCTATGCTTAAGTTCTCTATTATTTCTACTCATTCTTGTTGGGTTGCAGGGAGATATTATAGATCTTTAGAGGAGATAGTCAATTTTTTGGACTACTTGAATGTCTAGAGGCCCTATTTCGCCTTGTGTAATTCTCTTGGGATGCGCTCCCCTTTTGAGCGCTTTTATACAATTTTACTTACCTAAAAAACAATATTTAAGAAATACTTGCTCCTAGTTGTAATCAACCACTTGAGCATCTATATATATATATATATAAGATCACTTTCAAACAAAGTAATTAATATCATTTTCCCAATTACTATATCACACGAAAGCTTTAGTGGAAGAAAATATACGCACCTAGTAATGCATAAGCTGCTGCAGTAAAACCCTGTCCACAGAGTACTCACATTAATTAGTCAAATATGCATGTTTAACTTCCAAAAATCACAAAATTAACTCAAGAAGCACATAAAATCTTTACCTGATAATATTAAAATACAATTAATTAACTAAAAAATGATATACAAAAGAACTGCACATTTCATCTCAGTAGACCAACACAAGATCTTCCGGGAATAGTAAAACCAAATCCATGAGATTGGTGAGCCGTAGATTTTGAACCAAAAGAACAGTGCAAAATATCATACTGTTCAAGGCATCTCTCTGGTCCAAAAATTTTGCAAGGAACAGAGACCCTCTGAATTATGGGTTCCGAGATTAAACTTTACTAATATAAATGTCAAGAGCAGAATAAAAGAAAGAAAATGTTTAAAATTTTATTCCGTCAATCCTTCAAGATTTAAATGATCCTTCAAAAAAATCTTGAATACGAGAAAAGGAAAAAGAAACCTCGTAATAAGCAAGTACATTTCAATTAATGACAAAACTAAGGTAACATAAGTAAAACTAGTCTTACCATTCCATAACCAAGAACTTGTAATGGAGTAGGGCTGATATCCTCTAGGATTGCCTCAGCTTCCTAATATTATTCAAATTTTACATTAGCATATAACAAAACATTTAAGTACTTTAAGTATTCAAACATAATTTAAATTAAATATTTATCAGTGCTAGTTAGGCAATCAAACAAAGCTCCCACATAATGACTGTTAAAATGCAGTTCATTAATATGCGAGCAGTGCAGTTATTGTCTGTGACAAACCCTCAATTTTTTTTATCTGATCTGAGGATGTAGCTCAATTCTCAAACACAAGAACAACTTTAAACTCCTACGGGCTTCCAGGAAAATCATAGAAAATAGCATGCACAAATTTTAGAAATATCTATTTAATCTATTATATTCAAGTCAGGTCACTATAAATTCTTGTTAGGCCACATACTCAGAACTTCTGCAAAGAATCTTTTCCAATGTTTTTCTTAGTAAAGCAGTTAAGTTTAGAATACACCATCTCTCTCATCCTTGAATCCTTACAGTCAATATATTTGAATGAGAGAGAATTGCTTTATTCAAATGCTTATTGGAGCACTGACTTGGTGTTCTCTTCAAGATGCTTCTTGGAGAGAGTTCCACTTCTAAATAGTTTCTGGGACTAATTATCATCATTTTTCAGACTGCTTCAACTTAGGGTATGTAGGTGTGGGTTCTTATATATGTGTGTGTGTGTGTAACATAAGGCATTACTCGCGACATAGCACAAGCTTACTGTAACGGGTGGGCGCTTGCCCATTTTACCCAAAACCCTAAACTATTGGGTAGTGTTGCATACCCACCCATTTATACACACTTCAACTCCCATCCAAATCCGATGTGGGACAAGTCCCACTTGTAACACTTACCAATAACAATCATTTATGTGACTAGAGAGAGAGAAAGTATGGCAGTGTGCAAGTTCACCATTGACTCCCTTGGGCCTTGGTGAAGGTCTAGAGGGTGAGCCTGGTGAGGTGAGAGAGAGCATGAGTGAGTTATAAAGAGAGTTCAGAATATGGGGGTGGCTCCCCCCTCATTTCTGCCTCTACCCCTTAGTCTTGGTGGAAGGATCTTTTATATGCAAATTTCAAGGTAGGTGATGTCATGTGACTCATGTTGAGGCAACATATGAGTTTTTGCTATAGTGACAAAAAAAAAAAAAAAAAAAACTACAAAGTAATGAGAGACAAGGATAGGGTGTGTAATTGTTAAGTGTAATAAGGGTAATTATTTATAAATGATGCTAATATGGTCAGGTAGGGTGGGGATAGGATATATGGGAATCGCCTTCTTGAAGGGCCCTAGACTTCAATCACCAAACCAAGTACCAACTCGATCCCAAAAATTCCATAGTCCTGCTCCCAACTCAGGTCTTCCAGTCCTTCAGTCTTCTATTCGGGGTTTACTGATGATGTGGCAAGTGCCTTATAACTTCCTAGTTGACTACTTGACTTTTTGTTATGTGGGCATACTGATGATGTGGTGAGTGCCACGGGGGGTAAAGCGTATCAAATACCTACAAGGTCTAAGTATATATGGTATATCACTCAAGAATACTCTATTCTGACTTCATTTCTTTCAAAAGTATGCTAAGAGCTTATAGCTTGCTTAGTTAGTACTTAAATAGCACCTAATTACCTTATATCTAAATTGGACATTGTTAATACAAAGAAAATGTAGTTTATGAGTGGTGTACAAAATTGTTTGAGGACTATTGAAGCCAAGTGGTGTCCAACAAAGGTTGTTCACTCAATTTGATGAATCCTAGTGCACAAATCCCCCAAACTTAATAAAATTGTTCCTGTGAATCAATGCTTTATCAAATACAGAAATTTTCCACAACACATTATTCATACAAGGCTTTGTAGGGACATGACATAAGGATTTCAAACATATATAAATACGAGCACATAAGACACATATAGAGTGAGTGAAGTTCCAACCTTTACACGTAGTAACAGATAAGAAATGGAATACACTCGCACACACACATATAGACACCAAGAGGGATACATTTTTACCAAAGAAAGTGAAAAGAAAAAAAGAGTAGTTGAAGAAACCTCATTGAATATGGTAAGTGTTGTCTCTGGTTTTAGCTCCTTAATACGGAGACCCTCTTTTGCCCAAGACTGAAAGCCACCTTGGACCAGGTATGGTCTCTGTCATGCAAATATAAAAGATGAAAACAATAATTAACTTCTAACCATCTGATTTGGAATTTCAAAAGGAGGAAGACAACGTAGCAAGACCTTCTTATTTACATGTCAATATCTACGTCTGACCTAATTATGCAATCAATTTTAGTAACATAAATTCAGCATGCTGGCCTCTATATTACCTTTGTTGTTCAAAATTTGATTCCACATGCCAAACAAAAACCACAAAGCTCTAATTTGGTCCCTACTGTTCTTCTCTTTCACAGCTCTATCTTTGGCGTATCCAACGACATTAATTAATTTTGAAAGAGAACTTAAAAATATTGTTAACAAGTATGCCAATTAGAAGAAACAAGTTATTATTATCAAAACAAAGGATAATGGCCTTTCTTCCGGGTTAAAGTTTACAAAATTAATAAGCATTCTATGGCGTTATTACCAACATAAATATATAATGACCCCATCTGCCTGAAAGTTTTTCTTTCAAAGTGATGTTTAACATAAATTAGGAATGACATTAGTACTACACATAATGGTTATTTTACATGTCAATGATTAGGAGCAAAACCATCAAAAAGTGATTGTATCATTTAAAAAGTCAGGGGAACAGAACAGTGAATTTCCTAAGGGGAGGTCAACATAGTTTCAGAACCACAGGAGAGGTCATTATTAGCTTCAAATATTATACAGATGTCCAATAAATTTTCTCAAATATTATACAGATGTCCAATAAATTTTCTCAACTATTAAACAGATGTATAGTGATAATTTACTTGAGGATGTATCACAGTTATTTTTTATATCGGAACTTGTGAAATAAGAAAGTCAAAATACATCCAAATTTCAATGTTTATCCCACAGACTTCAGCATTCTTGATACATAAGCTTGGACATATCATTCTCCTCTTTCTTTTCCTAATTTATGAATGGTTTATTTAGAAGTTTAGTTATTGTCATGACAAATAGAGATCATGTTCATGGATTCATGTTATACTTGCCTTTAACCCAAGTTTCCTCAGTGATCTTGCAATGCGCTTGGAGCGAGTACCATCAGCATCCATAACAATGACCTTGGACCTGTCCTATAGGTAGGTATAAAGACAATATTCTGAGATACCATTTCCACATCCAGATCCAAACAAGGGAACATATTACTAGAGAAAATACATGAGATAAGAACCTCATTTCCACTAAAAAGCCCATCATACATTTAAGCAAACTGACCCTTTCCTGAATTTCAACAATTGGATCCTATTATAGGCTTCAAAATTATTTCGTAAATGCTACACTTTCCATAAAAGTCCCAACAGAAAGCACTGTCATGCTTTTAAAATCATTATGACACAAATTTAGAACATATTTTTGATAAATTATAATCATTCATGCTCTATTTGTTATATCCTCTTTTTATTCTAAGTAGATGGTGAAATAAATTGAATAGTGTTTTAAGTGAAGCAGTGGGTAAATGTTTTATCAAAGGGGAAGACTTGTAAATTATCCTTTGTTCTCTTTTAAAAGCCCTAGAGAATGAAATATGGTTTGTCCTGACTGGAAGAAAAAAAGAAAATATTCTTATATCTGAACTTTAATGTAGTTTCCCTCCAATATGTTAAAACACATGAAGTAGAAAAACCATATACAAACATAAGGCTAATTACTTGAACAATTTTCAAGTTCCGGGTGACAGCAGCAATCAAGGTGTCCTCAAGGTCTCTTCCACTCTTCAATAACTTCTGTACCGAGACATCAACCTGAAAATTTAAAATAAATATGTAAAAGACAACTACAAAAAGGGGATACAGCTTGCCCTATACAGCATAATTTTCTTTGCATCTATGTCACAAAAATTATTCTTTATCTATAAAGCAAACATAAGGAAATGCCGAACTCCTTTCCCATAAAAGAAATGGCTGATAAACCCTTAGACTGTGTCAACCAACCTCAGGTAGTGTTACATTGGCATATCGAAACCGAGCCGCGCGTCGAAGATCAGGAATGCCATCTCTTTCCCTGAGAACCTTCATGAATATAAAAACGCATAACCAACTATTATCAAAAAATTAAAATTTAAAATCTCCATAAAGAGTAACTATCTATTTCCTTGGGTGTAGGAGAACTCCCATCCTTCAAGAATGGCGCAATGAACGAGTTGTCCAGTTAGAATTTGTTCTAGAAGCGCTAAATACAAGATATAATGAAAGAGAAAACATAAGGAGATGGAGATATTTTTAACCTAATTTAAATCAGTGTCAGGTAGAAACTATTCTACAAAAGAAAAGGCTGGAAAAAATTACAGTCGCTTGCCTCAGGCCGGACATCAATGAGTACAACATTTTCCTTCCTTGTCAAGAGCTCCAAAGTCGACTTTGGAGATAAATCTCCAGCGTATCCACCATATGTCAATACCCAATAACAACCCCTGCAAATAATCTGATAAATAATATAAACTTCCATAAAAGTTAAAAATAACTAAATTTTCCCACTACCAAAAAAAAAAAAGAAGAGGGATATCCATACCATAAAGTGACCGATGTTCCAAGGAAAAGAACGAATGGGACAACTGGATCATTGGGATCCAAGCCAAGACTTCTCTCCAACCAATCTAAAGCAATGTAAACCTGCTAACAGTGCATGTGAAAGCATAAAATATTTTATAGAGAAAAAAAAAAAAAAAAGTAATATATTTGTAACAAGATCAGATTATATATGAACACAACTTCACAAGGATACAGCTGGTTTCTACCATAATATTTCAAGTTAATTTTTTTTTTTTTGGAGGATTCTATTGCAAGATTGGAGATTGATGCCCCTAAGAAGAATAGATCCAACCAGGAAAGCTCTACTGTTTAAATGTTAAAAATCTACTATGCTTCTCAACCATTCCTAGAGACTCAATAAGCCAAACCAAGATATGCTCCTGAGGCTGATTTTTCATTTAGAAGAAGACAACTACAGAATTGTCTGTATTAGATAACCAATAAGCCATGGGATCCATTTGTATGCTGGAAAGATGAAGACTGAATATACCTGTTGAACTGCTGTACCAAATGGCTTCAAGATTTTTATTGCCCTGTCTTCAGACAAATTTAGCAAATTCTGGATCTCTGAAGGAAGCAATTCCTTTGTGGACCCATACCCATAAACAACAAAGTTTCCCCCCTGTGTTAGAGAATCCTCAACTGCAACAACTGTATGTCTCAGCACATCAACAGCAATAATACCTGCTTTGCTTAAGGCTTCCTTCAAGTCATTGGAGAAGCTTGTCAATCTATTACCGGCTAATTTTCCCATTTCATCAACAGCTGAGATCCCTTTACTGACTGCATTATCAACTGATTCATTAACACCATTAAGAGCAGATATCATTGAGGTAGTAATTGCATCAAGTGATTTTTTCAGAGCATTTTCTCCCTTATTGGCCGAATCTCTAATAGTTTCATTGACCCCAGCAAAAATATCTTCAACATTTGTTTTTACACTGGATAATGAATCATTATCCATGTTCAAGGACTTGGATACCGAGGTGGGATCTTCTTGAATAACATCAATAGTTGTTATGGTTTGAGGATCAGCAGGCTTTGGTACAATATTAGTATTCTCCACCAGACGTTCTGTAAAGTCCACGAGTTCCTCTTCTCTGATGGTTACACTAGAACTTTCTACGAATTTCAGATCTCCTATCTCTACAGGGTGTGGTTCATTTATTGCACCAATTGAGTAACTCCGGTTAGTGGAAAATTCACACTTACTGGCATCTAATACATTTTGGTAGGAAGACATGTTAATGAAGTCCATGGAAGCAGATTGTTCAGCGGTTTCAGTAATATTAGAGCAGAAAGATGTAGCAACTTTTGATTTGAAGGAAATTCCTTGAAGATGAATTCCATTTGATAAGCACGAAACAACTCTGTCTTCCACAATGCATTTAACCTCGAATGCCTTCCGATAAGCAGCAAAGAATGGAAACCTTCCATGTAAAGCAAGCTGCAGGGTCATTAGTTTCATATAGCACAGATAAATTGTTAGATCCTACATGTATATGTAAAAAGTAGAAAAATAACATTATGTTAGTGCGTAAACTAAAACTTGTTTCAACAGTTCTAAAATGAAAATGTGGAAAGAGAAAAACAAGATGCTCACTTTATGTACTCGTAGAAGTCGAAATTTTTTGGATGCACTGAACTTTTAGCAAACTACAAGGATATTCCCTGTAAAAGACGAATCTTGTTTGAAATGGATTTTACAGTTTTACTTATTAAGAAAGGCCTAAATATGTCATGGAGTGAATCAGGTTTGGAGTGTTTGAAGTCTTATTGGGTGTATTTTCAATGGGCCAGAGAGCACCACACCTTTTCCCTTAGGGATTGGGGTAAATGTTACACTCTTAAAATTTGACAGATGGTTCTCTGACTAAATGCTACCATGGGAAAATAGAAACCTGTAAATCCTACCTGTCATTGAGGGTCAACACCCTCTTTTCAATTGTCAAATGGTAAACCTTCTAAACAAAAACTTGAGCCAGTAAAGTATTCCAGTCTTCTACTTTGTGGATGATATTTAGGCTCCATTTGTTTCGGTGTAAAATATCTTCCTTGGAAAATATTTTCTGTACAAAACTTTTTCAGGTAATATATATATATATATATATATATATATATATATATATATATATATATATATTATTTCCAGTGTTTGGCAAAGGTCCAGAAAAATTTTTCCAGAATGCTTTACATGGGGATTGAATTTGTCTAGCGTCGATCAACGAATGACGATCACGTAGGGGTGTGAAAAATGAATGATGATCGCGTAGGGGTGTGAAAAATGCTTTACCAACCTTTTTTCGATAAGTCGTTTTTCAAAGAAGCCTGTAAAAGATTTTACCAAGTAAAATATTCTTTTTTGTTTTTTGGAAAACCAAACACCAAAAAATAGAAATAAAATTACTTTTCAAAAAATATTTTACATTGAAACAAACCGAGTTAGTATTCAAACTTCAAAGTAGATAATAAAAACATCCAACAATCACCTTATAAATTTTCAAAGGATACATTGTATGATTAAATTAGCATTCAGCAAGTCTCCTCATAAAACCAATGAAATGTGAAGTTCCACATCTCTACATGTATCATGAGTATGTTAGTAGCTGAATTGAACTTAGCACCTGATTTAAGATCTCAGCCGTTAATTGTCAACTAAGAGGATGTGTAACATTATAGAAATTTTCGAGATATAGGAGATAAATAGGAGATCCCTTATAGTGTGACTTTCAAGTTTTAAACAAATTATCAGCTACAATATTAGGGTGGGTACTTTCCCTACTATACGCGTATATCTGCACATAAACCCAATTTAGTGTTTAATTGACAATTTTCAGTGGTTTCTCTATTAAGTGCACCTGATAACATACAATTAGTCGTCTCTTAAAAATAACTCCTACTCATAATGGTCTGAATTCCAAGTCAAAGATATTTGACTTTTCACTGAATGATGGCTGTAGAAATTGATATAAATCTATAAGTTAAGTTTTTACATCTTCAGTTTGATGAATTCAGCTACCTAGATTAATTCGGCACTAAAATTTTTAGACCTTAATTTTCATTTTGATCAGACGAACACCTTAATACTATAAGAATTAGTATGAACTTTGGCACGTGAAACAAATGTAACCTTCCATCTATTTAGAAACCATGGCGATGGGCAGTTGAATATGAAACAACTTCCATCTGAATTGGCAATCAGACAAACACATATGAATTTGTGTATGTCAAGAGTAGACTCCAGCAGCTTGAACATTGACATTCATTTTACATCATCTACCTAGTTTTGATAATTTGGCGAAGTAAAATTCTCGGTAGCTCCGAAAACAAAAAGTCCAACAACTTGAATGAATGACAAGCTGCATTTAATTTTAATGTGCTGGCCACAAAATAAATAAATAAATCTCAAATGGAACATGCTTGTGAAACAAAATTTATTAAATGGAATTCAAGCTTGAGTTGCACTAAATCTAGAAATTAAAGCGTTAAGTGGCAGTAAATTACAAGTCAGGAAATGAAAACTCCCCCTCACCTGGGAATGAGAAGAGATGGTGGTGGCTGAGCAAACAGGCAACATTGTCATTTAATCTTCTCTGCTCAAAACCCACAGAAATGGAAACAAAATCCTTAAAAGTTGAATGAAGAAGCCCACCACCAACCAAAACAGAGTGTACTAATAATATCACAGGCAACCAATTGATTTCGAACGAGACTCTGCTAAATCAAAACAACCCACCAAAGTTGATGACTTTCAAATTTCAGTTGCGATTGAATCAAATCATTGTTTGATAACGAATCATCCTAAACACTAGAAAAGCTTGTTTCTCTCTCGGGACTGGAGTGGTAAAATTCTGGAAAAGGGAGTAGATGTTGTTTGAGATTTTTGTGTAGTGAATTGACATGATAAATAAATGGCGAGACTTGGGAGACGTTATTGGCAGAATCGAATCGTGTGGCTCCTCGAAGTTGTTTCATCCCTTTAGCCCCTATTTCGCTTCTTTTTGCCTCTCGTTTTTTTGTGGGGACAAGTCACAGACTCGCGGTTGTATTATTTGTTAAATTTTTTTTTTTAGGCAAAAAAGCATTTAAAAAAAAAAAAAACCTCAACCGACAACAAAATTGTGCAAGTCACTGCCACAACTATCATAAATATACAATTTGTCCCTGACAATTATTTCCGGCACATTTCCGGTCACAGTCATTGTACATCTACAAAAATGCCCAATTAACATTTTTAAAAAGGCAAATAAAACTAAATTTATGAAATACCATCAATACTCTCATGCTATATAAATCTTATATTGCTAAAATTTCTAAATGTAAAATCATCCCTTCTTCAATTCTTCCCTCTTCTAAAACCCTAAAAATCAAACAAGTGTTAACAATCACTGAAGGAGAACATCTCTTCCCATGAATTCTATCCAAAATGTCAACAAATTCCTACAACTTCCCTTCCTTGCACAGTGCACAGATCATGATTCTAATTGTAACATCATTTGGGTTTGTTACTTTTTTTATCATATGTTCATGAATCTTCCAAACCAAAGTGGAAATGTACTTTATATATATATATATATATATATATATATATATATATATATATATATATATATATTGTAATGACCCTATCTTTTTCCTTCCTTTCCTTTTTCTCAAATTTTACAGATAAATTTTTTCCGTTAAATTTTCTTTTTCGAGTTTGGTTTCTCGTCACTTAGTGTCGTCTCGAGTGCTCGGAAATAGTTTCCGAAACTCTTTCCTTTGAATTGACAACTTCTTTAAACGATCGCGTCATTTCCACATTTTCATTTTTTAGACACTATTCATATTTCGTCTTTTTTCCGTTTGTCACTTTGTTGGCTCAACCTCACTTTCTGTGTTCGGAGTTGAGTTTTGACTTCACGAGTTTTCATTCCAGTTGATTTCCTCGAAACGTGTAACTTTACTTTGAGAAAAGTTCACCGGTTATTCATTTTTCCTGTAGGGGCGTGGATGAAAGGATTCTTCAGAAACATTGATATTTCTTGGGATATTTTTCGTAAATATCTTTTGAAGTTATTTGTTTCAGAGGTTTTTAAGAAAAGAAGATATTTTTATTCTGGGCCAGTTTCGTAGTTATTCTTTCTTAGAAGGGTCATTGTGCAATTAACGAAAGTTATTGCAAAGTGCCTCATTTTGAGCCTGGATTCCCGTACGGGATTCATTTTTATATTTTGTCAAGTCGTGAACTCTTAGAATTTCCTTCCAGTCGTTTTCCCTAATTTTAGGATTTTCGGCCCCGATTTGCATTGAACTTGTTTGAGGCATACCTTTCTATACGGGACTCAGTTTTTGACATCGTTTCTTCTGTTGTTCATTTTTTTTCATATCGGTTCTTTTTCGTTCATGATGTTTTACCGTTTGAGCGCGTCTGCGCAAATTCCACTTTTCTGGACCCACTGGGCCCGTTCAGGACACTTTTAGGGTTTTTCTATAAATAAGGGGTCTTAATATGAAAAGTCAACATTTCATCTTCTTCTCCCCCCCTTAGCCGGTAGCTCAAGGGGCTGTTATCCTTCTTCCTTCATTTCAGCCTTCTTCCCTCTTGTAAAATGCCGTAGTGCCTTAACGTTTATCGTAGGCCTTTGTGAGGTGGCCCTTTCCCCCTTATTAGAATTCGTTTTCGGCCATTTTTCGAGTACGGGTTTGATGTCAAGTTGGGATTTTGGTGGTGCCTCAAAGGTGAATGTTGTTTCCCTCATTGTCCCTGATAAAACTCCGAAGTATCGTAGGATTCGAAGCCGTTCCATTTCGGTGGGGATTTGAGATTTCATCTCAAAGCGAGGTAGGGGATGTTTTAGGTTTATATAATTGTTATATTGAATGTATTTCATGCTTATACAACTTGTATGCATGTCTAACTATTTCATCTATAATTTAATTTAATTATTTTCTATGTAAAAGATTTAATTCACATGGTTGTATATAACTTGGAATTGAATTGTGACATGTTATTTAATTAGGCCTTGGTATGTTCATTAACTTATATTAAATTGAGAGTAATTGAATAAGTTATAAGAATTTTATTTAATTATTATCTTGGATAAAATTTAATTCACATGAATGTACCTAGCATGGAATGAACTTGTAATATGATATTAAATTAGGCCTTGATATGTTCATTAACATATATGAAATAGAGAATATTTAAATGAGTATTGAAAACTTTATTTATTTATTTTCTTGTATGAAAGTTTAATTCACCTAGTTGCATCTAGGATGGAATTAACTTGTGTTATGCTATTACACTAAGTCTTGACATGTTTATTAACATACTTTAATTTGAGAGCATTTTGATGAGTTTAAAAATCTAGAAATTTTAATTAAATGAATTAATTAAAATCTACTTAATGGCTCCATGGACTTAATTAAGTTTTTAACTTGATATTTGCAATGACTAGGATTTATTTACTAGCATGTGTTAATTTGAGACCATTTGGAGTTGCTTTAGAATCTAAAGATTTAATTGTCATGATTTAATTAAATTATATTTTGTAGTTCCAATGACCTAATTAAGTTTTTGAGTTAGTTTGTGTAATGACCATACTATGTTATTCAACATATGTTAATTAAGGATTATTTGGATGAGAATTGAAATCTAGAGAAATTAATTAGGTTATTTAATTAATTTCTGATTCTATTGCATAATGAGTTAATCATGTATTTGACATTGATTATATGTTTAAATCATGATTCCGAGCTTGTGTTATAAGCATGAGATTACGTTTTCAATATTAGATAATATTGTCATAGCATGTAACAAATCGCACACTGAAGATTCGACATTTTTCATGCCATAGTAGTTGTGGACTTAGAGCATGTGTTGTGTGTTTCCAAAAATGAATTGTGCATGGTAGATAGCTTTTATATAGTATATATATGATGATATATATATGTGGTTGCACAACTTCTTGATTTCTTAGAAACTTGGGATATCGAATGTTGGACTACGGCTAGGACATAGTTCTAGTACGGGGGATGAGAGTTCCTCATATGAGTCTAGTGCGCACATAGAGTAGGTTGCCCATAGGTTAGTAGCCCTAAAGTAACCCCGTGTCGGTCTGATCCGATCGATATCCGAGTATCCACCTTTGTTGATTTCGCTTTTGATTACAAGTTAATGGCACTAAATTGTGATTTACTTGTTTCCGCATTTTAGATTTCAAGTTGATAACTTTGATAATCTATGTCTTGATGCGTTGTATTAGAAGTTCTAATGATACTAAATTGTTATATTTAGTTGTTTTCCGCATTTTAGACTTAAAATGGTTTAGTTTGATAATCTTTGTTTTTATGCATTGTACTAGAAGTTCTAATTTTACTAAATGATGATATTTAGTTGTTTACGCATTTTAGGTTTCAAATGGATAACTTTGACAATCTATGTTTTGTTGCGTTATATTGGAAGTTCCAATGTTAGTTCAATTGCATTAAAATTGTAATTTGTGTTTTAATTGTTCAATGTAGCTTAGGATGATTCCTTAGACTCATTTGGAACATGGATGTTATGTGGCATGAACCGTTTTGGTTGTTTTCGCATTATGGGTTGCAAGTTGATAACTTTGAATACCTATGTCTTGTTGTGTTACACTAAATGCTCCTATGTTGTTTAAATTGCATAAATTATGTGATTTATGCTAGAAATACTCTAAGGTAGCTTAGGATGCTCCATGAGTCTCACCTTTGACATAGACACTAGGTGGCATGATCGTATGAATTGATTTATATCAACTTAATAACTTTGTAAAACGTTAGGTCTTTGCATGCTCATCTCCTACGAGTAGTTTTATGTTTCTCACCCATGTAGTGGGAACATTTTTCAGGTACAGGAATCAAGATTCGAGATTCGCATTATGCTTTGGGATGTCTTGTAGACTTGAAGTATTTAATTCATCCAAATGTTAGCATGAAATGCTATTTGTAGCTTTATACGTCAAAACTTGTATATTTGGTTCTAAATATGTAATGTGTACATAAGTACACCTTTTATAATGCATTTGATATGTATGAGATGAGGCCATAGGCCATGGACATTTATTTTACATGCTATGTACTTTTACTTTCAAGCCAATTTTACGAAAAAATAGAAAAATGTCATGTTTTAGCTTCATTGCATTTGCATGGGTGGTGAGAAGTGGGTTTTAACACTTCCATATGGTCTCTTCAATCATTCATGAAGTATGGACAATGGCCAAACGGTATTTTGAAATAATTTTATAATTTTAAGTTTCAAATTTCCTTTAAAAGTCCATTTTCAGGCATTTTTGAGCTTTGATAAGTCAAATTTTGCATCGGGCATTTATGGGGCCCACAGGTCATTCCCGCGTACTTAAAATCATTAAATACAGTTGCATACATAATCGTTTCAGTCTATAAATGCATTTAGGGTTAAATGAACACTTTGTGCAAAGTTGCATTTTCATTATTTTTGACCTAAACTGATCTAGGGGCATACTGGGCATTTCACAGCGCATTTTAAAATTTTCTTTCAAGATGGTCAGGTAGAAAACTTGATTTTGAGGAGGGGTTCTCCTTTGTGTTTTTGCAAAAAAAAATTTATTTAAGCCTCCAAATTCAGCCTCAGTTCTGGAATTTCAGAAAAAAAAAAAAAATCACACAGTAGCTTTTGAAGGCTGCTATCAGCCTTGCACACGCGCCCTAACTTGACTGATTTTTCGTCGTCTATCGAATGGTGTGCTCGGCTACACTTGGATCTTTCTAGAAAATTACTAGTTTACCCCTAGAGCTTTATTTGTTCGTTTTTCGTCGTTAGGCCATAACTTCTTCGTCCGGATTCCAAATCAAGCGATTTTTGAGTCTAACTTGATTAATTTTTCATTGTCTATCCATTGTTGTACTCGGTAGCACTCAAATCTTGCTAAAAATTACCATCTTGGCCTTGGGGTTATACTTGTTCGGTTT